TATAAATTTTTATATACATAAATTTTTCTAAAACACCCTTGAGATATCTACTAGATAAATAGACAAATGGTATCAACAAATAATTACAAAAGAAAGAAGTAATCTAAAATGTAAAGATTTAGGCACAATGGCATTCACAGTATTAAAATATAAAAGAGTGAAAACCAAGAACCAATCTACTTAACCATTTACCTATTGTTGGGCATTTAAAGGAAGATACATCAACACAATGGCATGTTATCCAACCCTTAAATATTTACACACAAAAAAGGTATGACATGGGAAATGATATAATCTTTACTTTATATTTTATACTAGAGGCCTGGTGCACGGATTTGTGCACCAGTGGGGTCCCTCGGCCTGGCCTGAGAGGATTGAGCCAAAACCAGCTCTCTGACATCCCCCAAGGGGTCCCAGATTGCAAGAGGGTGCAGGCCAGGCTGAGAGACCCCACAGGTGCACGATCGGAGCCAGGAAGAAACTGCAGTTTGATCCCCAGTTTGGTGTGTGCACGAGGCGGCCAATCAATTATTCTCTCTCATCATTGATGTTTCTATCTCTCTCTCCCTTTCCCTTCCTCTCTGAAATCAATAAAAAATATTAAAAGAAACTGTGTCCAGCCCCTCTCACCCAGTCCTGATCGGCTGGACCCCAACAGCAAGCTAACCTACTGCTCAGAGCATCTGTCTCCTGGTGGTCAGTGCACATCATAGCAACTGGTCGAATGGTTGAACAGTCAGACATTTAGCATATTAGGCTTTTATTATATAGGATAAAGTAAAGATTATATCAATTGTATAATTGTACATGATATAGGATGTCAAGTACATTTAAAAATAAGTTAGAAAAAGTGTTTTTAAAATGTATCAAAATATAACTGTAGTTATATCTGGGTAGTGATTTTCTTTTTCCTATTTAAACTTTCAATTTTCTTCATCAGCCTCTACTCTCCTATCCCACTTTCAAATCACCATTCACATTATTTAAAAAGCCAAACAGCCTTTTTATTTGTAATTAAACAGACAAGTATCTATTCATCTAAGAGAGGAAAAGAAAAACTTAATCCTAAAAATCTGAAGTGATAGCAATTGCTAATTTTAATATAGTTGAGTTTTGATTGCCAGTAGTCATGGGACAAGTCTAAGCAGTGGTCATATAAGGGAGAAACCTGTCTTTTGTACCAGAGGGGCCCTTCAAGTTGTTTGCCTGATAAGCTGATAGGCAACCCTGCCCCTGTCCAGGGTTATACTTTCCCAAGATCTGAGGTTCAACTACAAAAAGACCTCTCGTCAGAGGGCGGGAGGTCACATCCCTGCAATCTGACTTGCACTCTGTTCTCACTCAGCACATCAAACTTTGCACTTTGTCTCCTTGACTCACAAGACATAACACAGCCCTTTTTTGCTTTATGAGAAATTCAAGCTCACTACTTGAGTACTTCCCTCTTGTTTCTTCTCTATGCAAGTATCAGTCTCTCCCAACAAAGGCTGTGAACTCAATTTAGAAAGCTCTTCAGTTAGTACCAACCAATATTCCAAACTCTTGGGCACATAAAAATCAAAACAACACATTCTACCATAAACAGCCTCTTCACACCCGTATGTCTACTCCTGTTGCACTTAAAAATTATCTCAGTATAATAGCTGCTGTAATCAGATCAAGACTCATCTAAATTCCTATATTTAGGTAAAAATGTAAAAGTGGGGGGGGGGCCTCACACTTCTACATCATGAAAACCACTTACATGTAGATTTCTCTCACAACATCCTTCCTCAGCTATTGATCACCCAGTCCCCATGGGATGCACATGTGATATTTGCTCACAATATTTAGATCCAAAAAAAATCACCAACATAAAAAAACAATTGCTGCTGTGTGGCCTGTTACGTAAGTGGTTCAGACATAGGAGTGATACAGTTTGGTTTTTTTTTTAACTCAGCAGGAATACTTGGCCCAACAAGGGCCAATCTTGTCTTTACTGGTTTGAGAAGCAGCTGAGTCTATAACATAACTGTGTCCCAGGGTACAGAATGTTATTTTCACTTTATTCTTCTCTTGGCCTTCCCCTCCTTCCCAAGCCATCTGTTAAAATACTAACCAAACTATAAAATAATAAAAGATTGCAAAATGCCCACTAAATATCAATATTGGTAAGTCACAGCAGGTTAATATGTGGTTGCAAGAAATAATACAGAGATCTCCTGTATGCTTTACCCATTTCCCCAATGGAAATATCTTGCAAGATTATAGTAAATACCATGACCAGAATATGAATTAATATAGCCAAGACACACCATTTCCATTACCATGAGTATCCTTCATATAGGAAGGCATCATTTTTAAGAGAAAAACAATCTGAATGTCCTAGAAATGTTAGACAGAGTTCCATGGGGTGAGAAAGTCAAAGATGAAAAAGCAATTTGAAAGGTTGCTTCCATTTAAGAATTAAAAATGCTGAGATACTAAAAATTACTGTGACTGGTACATAGAGATTAAAGGGAAAGTGGCCCTAGCCGGTTTAGCTCAGTGGATAGAGCCTTGGCCTGTGGACTGAAGGGTCCCGGGTTCGATTCCGGTCAAGGGCACATGCCTGGGTTGTGGGCTCCATCCCCAGTGAGGGATGTGCAGGAGGCAGCCAATCAACGATTCTCTCTCATCATTGATGTTTCTGTCTCTCCCTCTCCTTTCCTCTCTGAAATCAATAAAAAATATATTTAAAAAAAAGAAAGAAAGTGAATCTTAAAGGGTGGTCCCCAAAGGACTACACTCAAGAGAGAACAAAGATGTCTTTGCACTTTACATGTCAATTTATGAGATTAACAATGGTAACCTGGGTCTGAGGTCCCCAGAAACTCTAAAACCATATTTGGAAGTGAAGCAATTGATTTATACAGAAAAAAATCAGCACACCAGGTCTAAAACCAATGTAAAAACTAAAGAAAGGAGAGGTTCTTGCTTCAGCATTTCAGTTAAAGGCAATAAACACCTGAAAATCAACTATGCTTTTGCTAAAAGCAGCAAAACTAAAGCTGAATAGAGGAGAGCTTATTCAAATCAGCTTCAAACAGAGATGTTAAGAGAAACAATGGTTCTTTAAAAATTTATTCTCTCATATCAAGAATTTATTAAAAATTTCTTGGAAGGGAAGAGGGCCAAATTTAATGAGTAAAATGTTCTACAACACCAAAGCAACACTGTCTACAATGTACAAGCACAGTAGTCACTTACCATGCTGAGTTGAAGGTGCCCCCTGGTAATGAGTGACAGAGTATGCCCAGGTGAGCTTTATCACAGGGCAGGAAATGACTCCGCCTGGGAGTTGAGCTGCGGGCGTCACTTAAAGCAGCACAGCCACTTTTCAGCTCTTCAGTCTCAATGTGACTGTGGTGGCTTAAACACCCTGAGATATTGCTATGATTAACTGAGATTTGCAAAGGAATTAGAAGAAAATGAGAAAAACCTCTTTTGTAATATAATTTTTAAAATGCATCATTTCTTTAGTAATTCCTTTTTTCCTTGAAAAATTAAGTCTTAAAGGAAAAAGTTTCCTCAAGTAATAATAATTGGAATTTCAAGTCCGGGGAAGTTTTCTGATGTGATAGTTTTATGTGTCAAGGTGGCTAGCCTTTAGTGCTCAGTTATTCAATCAAACACTAATCTAGGTATTGCTGTGAAAGCATTTTATAGATGTGGTTTTACACTGACAATCACTTCAATTTAAGTAAAGATTGTCCTTGATACGGTGGGTGGGCCTCATTTAATCACTTGAAAGGCTTTAAAAAAAGAAGCATCTTTAGCTTCAGCTCCTAAGCAAGTTGCCAATCTGATCCACCAATTTCAGACTTTAAGTGTCCATGATAGTATTCCATTAAATATATATATATCCACATACATACACATACACACACATAAAGAAGTCTTAAAAGAAAAAAGTATTTGTGTGTGATGTAATGCAAGTATATAAATTTGATGTTTAGTTATGATTTCCTTTCTTTTGCAAGTTCCCTTCTTAGGTATTTTTTAATATAGACTAGGCAATTTATTGCTAAGTATTGAGAAAAGGAAAATCTAAGCAAGAAATTCTTCTTTAAAAAAAGAAAGAAATCTTCAGCTCTGAGAAATAATTTTGATGGAGGTTCTGACATTTCTGAAGTTATCTTTGCTAATTATCTGTTGGCAGCCCTGGCTGCCCCAACCCAAATAGTTTTCCATTGTCATTGCCACACCCACAATGTCCATGTTTCTCCCTTTTTTCTCCTCTATTCTCCTCCCGTTACTAACATAATTCCGTATTTTAAAGTTTCAATAGTCTCTTTGTAAGATAGTCTAAGCATAAAAGAAATTAGTCTCAATCTATTTCTAATTAATAGAGCTTTTTCTAGCCACACATTTTCTTCTGTAGTTTAATTTCCCTCTTAAGCCCTACAGCTAATACTCCAGTTTCTAATTTTTCTGTATTTTTACTGCAATATCTGAAAACAATCCTATATAATAAATAGATAACTGATAGATAGAAGCAAAAAAATAGAGGCGCACGCACACACACACACACACACACACACACACACACACTAGATTTTAAGAAACAAATCTGATTTCAGCCTGAGGGTGAATTCTATGCACAAACAGGCCAATAGAAATCAAGACTTAACTAGAACAGAAGAGCCCACATAACCCACATAAGGGACTTTCCTGGAGCACCCAGTTCAGGTGCTCAAGAAGATTGCACCACTGAGTCCCACAGGACACCTAGTATATAAGGACACCCTACCAATACTGGAAGTCATAGCAGTTCCATAATACATAGAAACGAACACAAAGAGGCAGCCAAAATGGGGAGAAAAAGAAACGTACCCCAAATGAAAGAATAGGTGAAATCTCCAGAAAAGGAGCTACAAGAATTGGAGGCAAGTAATTTACCAGACATCGTATTCAAAAAATGGTTATAAGGATGTTCAAAAAACTTAGTGAGAACTCAACAAAGAGATCGCAAGCATAAAAAAGAACATAGAAACCATAAAAAAGAACCAGTCAGATATGAAGAATACAATATCTGAAATAAAGTATAGACTAGTAGTAATAAACAGTAGGTTGGATGAAGCAGAGGAAGAAAGGCAAGGTAGCAGAAAACACTCAAACTATTCCAAAAAATTAAAGAGGAGGTAAAATTCCCAAATTCATTTTACTAATTCCAAAACCAGATAAACCCACTACAAAAAAAAAAATTATAGACCAATATCCCTGATGAACATACTTGCTAAAATCCTCAAAAATATTACCAAACCAGATCCAACAATACATTAAAAAGCTCATACATGATAATCAAGTGAGATTTATTATGGAGATGCAAGATTAATACAATATCCACAAATCAATAAATGTGATATACCACATAAACAAAATAAAGGATAAAAATCACATGATCATATCAATAGATGCAGAAAAAGCTCTTAATAAAATCCAACACCCACTTATGATAAAAACTCTCAGCAAAATGGGGATAGAATAAACATACCTCAACATAATAAAGGCCATATGTGGTAAACCCACAGCCAATATCATACTCAATGGGCAAAAACTAAAAGTGTTTCCCTTAAGATTAGGAACAAGACAAAGATATCCACTTTTACCATGCTTATTCAACATAGTACTGAAAGTCCTATTCATAGCAATAAAAAAAATCAAAAGGCATCCAAATTGGAAGAAGCAAAACTGTCATTATTTGAAAATAACATGATACTGTATAGAGAGAATCTTAAAGATTCCACCAAATAACTACTAGAACTGATAAATGAATTCAGTAAAGTAGCAAAATATAAAATAAATATCCAGAAATCAGTTGCATTTTTACACAGCAATAATGAACTATTAGAAAGGAAAACTAAGAAAATTTACAATTGCATGAAAGAAATAAAATACCTTGAAATAAATTTAACTAAGGATGTAAAAACCTGTAATCATAAAATTATAAGACACTGAAGAAAGAAGTTGAAGAAGATACAAATAAGTGGAAGCATATAGCATGTTCATGGATAGGAAGAATTAACACCATTAAAATGTTCATACTACCTAAAATCTATAGAGGTAGGTTAAAAAAAAATAATTTATTGCCCTAACCGGTTTGGCTCAGTGGATAGAGCATCAGCCTGCGGACACAAGGGTCCCAGGTTCGATTCCAGTCAAGGGCATGTACCTTGGTTGCGGCCACATCCCCAGTAGGAGGTGTGCAGGAGGCAGCTGATTGATGCTTCTCTCTCATCAATGTTTCTAACTCTCTATCCCTTTCCCTCCCTCTCTGTAAAAAAAATCAATAAAATATATTTTAAAAAAAGATACCAATGGTGTATTTCACAGAACTAGAACAAATATTCCAAAAATTTATATGGAACCACAAAAGACCTCAGATAGCCACAGCAATCTTGAGGAACAAGAACAAAGTTGGAGGAATAACACTACCTGATATCAAACTACACTAAAGGCCATAGTAATCAAAACAGCACAGTATTGTCATAAAAACAGACATATAGATGAATGTAACAGTATAGAGAGATCAGAAAAAAAAAAATCCATGCCTTTATGGTCAATTAATATTCTACAAAGGAGGCAAGAACCTACAATTGGGTAAAAATAGTTAATTCAATAAATGATGTTGGGAAAACTGGACAGATACAGGCAAAAAAGTGAAATTAGACCACCTTCATACACCTTACACAAGACTAAACTCATAATGAATTAAAGATTTAAATGTAAGACTTGAAATCATTAAATCTTGGAAGAAAACATAGGCAGTAAAATATCAGATATTTCTCATAGCAATATTTTTCCTGATGTCTCCTTGGACAAGAGAAACAAAGAAAAAAAATAAACAGGTGAGACTACAGCAAACTAAAACGTTTTTTCACAGCAAAGAAAACCATCAACAAAATGAAACGACAACCCACTGAATGAGAAAAAAATATTAGTCAATGATACATCTAATAATGGTAAATAGGTTAATATCCAAAATTTATAAAGAACTTATAACACACAAAAAAACAATCCAATTAAAAATGACCAAAGGACCTCCAAAGAGAACATACAGATGGCAAATAAACATATGAAAAGATGTTCAACATCATTAATCATCAGAAAAATGATGATTTCATCCCACATCTGTCAGAATGGCTATAATCAATAGATCACCAAACAAGTGTTGGCCAGGTTGTGGAGAAAAGGGAAACCTTGTGCACTGTTTGTGGGAGTACAGATTGATACAGCCACTGTGGAAAGCAGTATAGAGTTACCTCAAAAAAGTATAAATGGAACTGCCTTATGACCCAGTGATTCCACTTCTGGGAATATATCTGAAGAAACTGAAACACTAATTCAAAAGAATATATGCACCCCTATGTTCATTGCAGCATTATTAACAATAGCCAAGATTTGGAAGTGGTCCAAGTGTCCATCAGTAGATGAATAAATAAAAAAGTTGTGATACATTTACACAATGGAATATGATGAGATCATACAAAATAAGGAAATCTTGCCCTGGCTGGGTTGCTCAGTTGGTTGGAGTGCTGTCCCAACACTAAAAGGTTGTGGGTCTGATTTCTGGTCAGGGTACATACCTAGGTTTCAAGTTTTATCCCCAGTCAGACACATATGGGAGGCAACCGATCACATGAACGTTTTTTTTCTCTCTCTCTTTCTCCTTTGCTCTCTCTCTAAAATCAGTAAACATATCCTTGGGTAAATATATTTTTAAAAAGGAAGGAAATCTTACCTTTTGCTACAGCATGGATGGACCTGGAGAGTATTATGCTAAGTGAAATAAGCCGGTCAGAGAAAGGCAAGTACCATATGATTTCACTTATATGTAGAACCTAATGAACAAAATAGAAACAGACCCATAGATACAGTGAACAGACTGACAGAGGGAAAGGGGTGTGGGAGGAAGTAGAATAGTGTAAAGGTTGTGGGGTGAGAGGAGGTTGAAGAGGGTAAAGGTGGGATAAATGGTTATAGAAGAAGACGACTTGGGGTGGTGAGCACACAATACAATATACAGATGATGGCTCATAGAATTGTACACCTGAAACTAATAAAATTTTATTAACCAACTAGAGGCACAATGCATGAAATTTGTGCAAGAGTAGGCCTCGCAGCTGCAGTGGCTGCCTGGATCCCTTCCTCGCAGCTGTGGGCCGGCTGCCTGGATCCATCCTTTGCTGGCTTGGTCAGGAAGGATGTCCGGAAGGATGTCTGG